TGGCCCTACATTGCGCCACTCTTAGATTAAAAACTGCAAGTTTTAACCCAAATGCAGGACAGAATGGGCCCTTGTCACATTTTAGTGAATTTTTGCCAGTTTGTCTCACCCCTTCATTCCAAGTGCAGTTTTGTCATCTTCATCCATTTCCGACGGTTTCTTTTATTGACAATTCTTAGTTGAGCTAAATTTAGGGGATCATTGACAATTCTTAGTTGAGCTAAATTTTGTCATCTACATACAATGCTATAGCACCATTCCTTCACTCCTGAATGGGTTCTATGCAAGTGAGATATATCACTTGTTGAATTTGGGCCTAGTGCTTCACTATTCATTTGGTCCTGATCCCTTGTTGTTGGGCTATTTTTACTTGGGCCAATTACATATGCTTTAGGGTTCTGGTCCATTTACCAAAACCGTGTTTGTGACACACGACTATGGCCTTTTGGAATGCTTTGATTTGGACCCTTCATTAGGTACAATTGTGACCGCTTGATCTGTGGTTTTTTACCTGAGTATATATATGCCTCTCTCTCTCTCTCTCTCCTTCGTTCTGGCTTGGTGCATTTTCCGAGTGATTTGTTCTAAGGGTTTTTTCTCGTCTGATTCATTATCTATAATCTTTGGTGTTCTCTCTGTAAATTGTTAAAGTCTTGGTTATGATTGTTTTTGGTAAATAATCTTTTAAAAGAAGTTGTATAGATTACTCGAGCTTCGTGTTAAAAGAAAGGCAAGAGAAAACTTGAAAAAATCTCTGATTTCTTCAAGATATTTGTATTATTTCTTGGTGAATTGATAATGGAATCGAGCAAAATCTACCTGTAGATGTTCAACGTATGAGTAGGCCTAAGGCTAAACATCCGGCCCTTAGTGATGAAAAATTCCTTTGTGTCCTTTAATTCTACAAATTGTTGTTGTTAATCCTTGAAAAAATACAATTCAAGGACTAACATCACTCAAGTTCCAAACCTGACATACGAGTCACGTAGGTGTCGTGTAGGATAACATATCCACTTGGCAAAAATATTTATACTAATATAGCCTCGTATTAATTGAGAACAGAAGGAAAGACATTTCTTATCCAAAACTTGGGTTAATAATTCGAAAGGTCTCAATGGTCATTGAACTATATCAAATACTACTACTTAATAATTGAACTTAAAAACATATCTTAATGATCATTGAACCCCATGTTACACATTCATCACTCGAATTGACATTGTTTGTTGAACCTAATGAATTTTTTCATTTAAGTGATAGATAAGTAACACGGTACATAATTCAATGACCATATAGAAACATTTTTAAGTTCGGTTATGATGTAATAACACTTGACAAAGTTCAGTAATTATTGAGATACATTTTTAAATTCAATTATTAAATTGTGATTATATTTTTATGTTCAGTTATTAAATAGTAACACTTGGCAAAATTCAGTGACCATTCAAATAATTAACCCTCAAAAACTCTCATGTTTAACCTGCCTAATGTCTTGAATAGCGTTGTCATAATTATTACGCAAGGTCATATGCAGGGCTCTGAATTGCAAAGAACCCTCCTGTGCCATTATTCTTATCCGATTGTGCTATATATACATAATATGTCTACATAATGGTATCACATGTGATGTGATGAGATATGATTGTGTTATTTTTTATTCAACAAAATAAAAAATATATATATCTTCATTTTCTTTTGACATCGTAAATCATTATGTAATTGCTTATATATAAGTAGCATTATTCTTAACAAAAAGGCCGCGAGGTTGATTTGATTTGACGTGGTCTTGGAATAGGCAAGTCCCTGACCCATATAGATGATCAACATATGTCATGCAGGCTATCTTGGACCCAACGAAGCATGTGATCCTTTGAAAAACATGGGACACAGGACAATAGATAATTCGACACATTTCAAATAAGGCAAGTATGCTCTAATATCTACCTTTTACAAGTCATCGGCAAAAGAGGAAAGGTTTGGGACAAAGGCTACACCACTTAGGGGCTGTCTAGGGATGATTAAGTAAAAATATGGTATTTTCCTTAAAGGGTTAGTGACACTAGACTTCTTGAATTTCCTAATAAAAAATGCGAGAACGACGAGTCAAATCGTCCGTCAACACATTTCAAGCACACTATAAAATCAAGTAAAGAACTATGTCATGAAAAGCTTTGACAGATGGATTCTAAAGTTTTGAATTTGATATTTTCAATAAACTAGTCACATAAAATAGTAGTTCACTCAATTTCATGTCAAAATATAGAGGAATTGTATGAATAAAATCCATATAAGAATTCGAGAAAAATATACAAAATATACATATTTGCATGCAGTTCAAAGATAAATAGTGACTTAATTGCCTTGAAAAGAGAAAAAATGGGATGACAACATTTCAATTTTCAGTCGGCAAATGAGTGAACAAAAAAAACCGTGGTCCAACCTTTGCTGGCGAAGCCACGCATCAAATCAAGCGTGCAGTCGGTCGGTCTACATACTCCATAACATTCGGCAATTTCCAACTTTCCTGGTTGGGACTCGGGTGGCAGTTAGCACATTAGCGCTGTTTGCCCACAACGCCCAAGAAAAAATATTTGTTTCAAAAACAATCTGGGTCAAGACTAAAAGTTGAAAATTATCGTCATAAGACCACGTTTGGCTGAGCTTAAACATAAACAAAAGATACAATAAATTTCGTAAGTAACTCTTACTTTACTATCAAAATAATATATTAGTTAATTTCAATTTGATATTAATAAGTAAATATAGTGAATACTACCATAATCTTCCCTAGATTTTGGTTTTTATCGTTGTCCTTATATCTGAGCAAATCACTAAAAATGAAGCTACGGTTTGACTAATAAACATGTAATTGAGATTTTAGTTTTCATAAGAGTATTGAGATATAGCGAATATTATCATAATTTATCCTAGATTATGGTTTTTATCACTCGCATTACTTCCGAGCAAGTCACTAAAGTTGAAAATACAGTTTGAGAACGAACATATGATTTAGATTTTAATTGCCCCAATAAGTATTGAGATATAGAAAAATATTGCCATAATTTTCCTTGTACTATGGTTTTCTTTAGTGTCCTTATATTCGAGCTCCTCGCTGAAACTAAAGCTGAAGTTTGACTTACAAATATATAATTGAGATCGTAGTTGCTTCATTAAGTATTAAAATCTAGTGAATATTACTATATCTTCCCTAGATTACGGTTTTTCAATCGATGAATAAAAAAATCGATTACCTAAAAAGGGAGGACATGTAGGATGTCTTAGGATGTCTCCGTCGTTACAAAGAATATCACTAAAGTTGTGGTCTTGTTTCTTCTTCTTCCTAACATCGTTCCTCTTGTGCTAAACCCGTGCAATGGTTTAATTTCATCTTTATTTTTTACTATATATACAAAAGATATAACCACTTCTCATAGCATCTAATCTAAAAAATACCACTTCTCATAGTTTGATATTAAAAAGTCTCAGTTTATTAAGTCTGTATAGCATAATCTTCTCGAGATTATGGATTTTGTCATGTCCTTTGTATTCGAACAACTCACTGAATTTGACTCTACGGTTAACACTTAAAATATAGAGAAAACTGAACACTTCACAAATTGTTGTATTCATCTTTTCAATGTGGTTGTAATATTAATGAGATATATTTAAAATCAAGAATTTTCAATGTTCCTTCATGAAATGTGTGGTTAAAAAATTGATAAAAAAAATGAGTTTTAGAATTTATTTTTTTAAAGAGGCTTAATGAAATAGCTAGGGATGACTTGGCGTGAATTAATTATCTTAAGCGATGTAATCATTTATCCGAATTGAGTGAAAGTGAAGAATCAAATCACTTGTAGTTGTATCAATTTGAAATCCACGCATTAGCAGATTTTAATTAAAAGTCAAATAATTCCTTTACTAAAAATTAGTAGACAAATATTGTAGTATAACTAAAAAAATTGATTACTACAAAGAGCGCGGAGCTCGATCTATTGGAGAGGGATCGCTTCATCCACGTTGAACAAATGTAGAAATAAATGTGATTAATTTCACATCTCAACAAAGAGATTCATAATCATATCAAATCAATTTCGTTACTGTCGAAATAGAAATGATCTCCTGTCCATGGTGGGTATGATAAAAGTTAAAACACGGTCAAGTTTACAATTTTTGATAATTCAACGCTGAATTGTCAAAAATTGTAGGTTCAATCAACGGTGACAAAATAACTCATACCCACCATGGATATGAAATCATTTCCGATAATCGAAAACAATGTTACTAGTTACTTTAGTATTTGTTCGACACAACTTATTTAAAATTAATTTTTTTTGAATTCGTCTTTAACTACACATTCATCCAATAAAATGATACATGAATTTATAATTTTTTCCTATTTTTAAATTATACATTTTTTTGAAAAAAAAAATTAAATAAAGGGAAATTGAAATCTAGATACCCGCCAAGAGAAGTTGAAATGTAATTTAAATAAAGGCTATTTTTGTCAAATCGAAATTTACAGTTCTTGGACTCTGAACCCAGAGAAGGTATTAAGACCAAAAATATATATCATTATACGTGTCAGTTAATTAAAAACGACCCATAATCTAACGCCACATTCGGCGCTTGCATATTTACTCGCCCACCCTCATACGTCCAGCGTGTGAACAAATAACTTCACTGTGCTTTAGTATTAATTGAGCGTGGACGCCACAAAAAGAAAAGCGCGTTGGTCACCTCACATTTAACAGCCCATAGCTTTTTGTGGTCTTTTCAATCCATTGGAATCCTCTACCCAACGGCCACTCTATCTAGAATTGTCCTCAAAACTCCCTACAATTGAAATTATTCACGAGTATGCCATCGTCCCCGTCTCCTATAAAAACCATGCTTCAGTTTTGCTTAGGTTTGCCAAAATAAAGAACGAAAAATCGCTCTCTCTCTCCCTTCGCTATTTTAGGCAAAAAAATATTTTTTAATACTGTATGGTACAATCGATGGAAGCGTCGTCATCAAGAACCAGATCGCAGGGTACAACTATGCACAGCAACTTCCAACGCTCCTTGTCCCCCTCGGGCCGGTTCTGCTCCTCTTCAATCTCGACCTCATCCGCTGCATACGTGTCGACCCGGACCGAATCGTTCCTGACCCGTCCTTCTAGTCCGACACGTGTCAATGTCTGCAGATCAGTTTCCCCTTCTCCCACTGTAAGGTTCTCTACCTCACACAGCCGCTCAATCGCATCTTCTCATAACCGGTATCAAAATCAGGGTACCCGTGCCCGTCAGTTCAATTCGGGTCCCAAGAAGACGTGTATGTGTTCCCCTACTACACACCCGGGGTCCTTCCGGTGCAGTTTACACAAGGACAACAATCGGAGCCGTGGGTACAACGGTGATAGCCAGACGTCGTTTCGGTCGAGTCACCACTTGAATATGCGGAGATCGGCGATGACGAATTCCTTGGTGAGAATCGGAACCGTTGAAGGAGATTTAGTGAAGAGAGCTCTCGCTGCTTTGATTCGCCCGTCGTCGCATCATCTCCGCCGCCGTGACGATTTCCAGCCACGGCCAAGCCGACTCTCAATCATGTCAAAAACTTAATAGTAAATTCTATAATTCGGCGTATGTTTTGTACAGTTCACTTGACGCGGCAAGTTGATAAGCCGTGATGGACAAGTGCGGTTGAACCGCGGTTTTGCAGAAGTTGAAGATACCAGTTTATAAACCCTAGCTATGGAGTTATATTGTAGAAAACGGCCATCTGAGTGAATGATTTTACTTTCTTGATTTTTATTTGACTTTTTCATCAAAAACGGTAAACAGAATTTGTCAATTAAAAATAACGTGAATTTAATTGAATTAAACACTACTCTATTTCAAGAACATATAGAAACAAGCATACTAATAAAATATTTCGAGTTGATTTCTTAATTTTTATTTAATTTTTTTGTAGATTGGATTGTGATATTAATATGTGGTTTTGCAATTATGCAGAGATATGCTTTGCAAAATCTGGCATTATGGTTTTGGAATTTCAAGTTTGTGGATAATCTGCAACTGGGATTTATGCATCAGCACTCTGTTTCCAATACAAAAGGTGATTTAATCTTCAATTTTTTTATTTTTATTTTAATTAGTGTTCTTGAATCCAAATGGTGATTTGCATCTGGGATTTATGTATGCTGAGCTTTTGCAGGTACACCTGGGGTGGGGCGGGAGAGGGGGTCATGAAGGAAAGAACTGACCAGATCTATGGATCCGTACGTGAATTGGTAAATACAGAGACAAGAAATTGATAAAAACTCGTGTACCTAATGCTAATGTTAGCATTGTGAAGAAGAACTTAATCGTGGGACTATAGAAACAATGTTTTAAAGATCAAATTCGAACATTGATGAGGTCGAATTGGTGGTAAAAAAAAATAAAACAAATTAGAGTAATGTTATTTATCACGACGATGATGAAATATCGTTGATGTGACAATTCATTATCATATACATTTCTCTTATAAAAGTGAAACTATCCAAATTCATTATTCTACCTAAGTTGTAACATATCAAATGTTCAATCATTGTAATGATAAATATCATTATTCAAATAATTGAAGGGAATAGGCTCTTCTCGACTCGTTCTAAATTTTAACATTTTCACATATAATTCAACTGGTTTTTCTGGTCAAATTCGCTTGACTAGTGGAATGCATTACACTAAGGTTGTCTTTGATACACAACCTTTTCCTTGGAAAATGGAAAAGTTTTTTTATTTCCATGTAAAAGTGATGTTTGATGGGAGAAATTTGACGAAGAAAATATTTGCCACCCCCCCAAGTCCCCAACCCACGCGCCTTATTTCCTTGTTTTTTTGTCAATAAAAATAAATTTCATAACTAGTTATAAAAAAAAAAATTCACTTTAATAGACAATTTTCATGTAAAACAAAGTCAAACGAATACTAAATTTTGATTTAAAAAAATTTCGTTTTTTTTTAGCACAATGGAAACAAATTTTATAACCAATTGTGGAAAAAAATATCATTTTAATGGACAATTTTCATATAAAATTAAGCCAAACGGACACAAAATTTAAAAAATTTTCACCCAGAAAATATACCAATCAAACACAATTAATTAACAATTCCTTGTAAAACCATTTTTAAGGAATTACTTTCTTTGGAATTCATTTTCTTTTTATCCTTGCAATCAAACGGACCCTAAAATTCAAATTTGGGAAATTTAAGAATGTTGGGCTGTGCCTCATCAAGTATTTAACACCCTTTCTTGTAAATCTTTACTGTGTAAAAAACTCGAGTGGTCACCCAACTTTCCCTTAAATTTTCATATTGGTCATCTAACATTTGTTCTAAATTGATTACTAAAATTTTCCAGAGCATTTCAGTTCATCATCCTATCAGTTTAAATTTAAACGCGTGGACAATAGTTCTCTAAAATGGCTTAATGATTCTGTTGCCTTCAAATTCCATTACTATTGAGGTAATCAAGACCGTCAAGACATGTTTGATAATTTGGATTAAATTAGGAAAATTAGGAAATTATTTAATTTTTTTTATCTCAATAATAAAGAAAGGAATAGTCTTATGTATTCTTTTTAAAAGAGTTGTCGTCATGTAAAGTTTCTTAAATTTAAAATCGAGCTAATTGAATCTAATAGACTTTCACTTGTCAAAATACAAAAGTAAGGTGAGAGTTAAGGTGAGGGTTCACTTTATATCATGTTGATGGGAGTGTTTCAAATATATAAATAGGGATGGAAAGTGGGTGAATGCTCGTCTTGCATCCAATCGAGTTATTACCGCGAACCAAGAACCAATTCCCACGTAGGCTTGGATTGGAGTTAAAGTGCAATTTTGAGAAAAAAAAAATAATGAAATGGCAAGCCGAGCCCAAAAGGCGAGCTTGTGGAACAAGTCGAACTCAATTTTCTTCAAGTGAGTTGGCTCGCTACACTGTAAAGCACAAGCCAGCTCGTCGAACGAGCCGAGCATGGTGATAGGCAAGTCGAACGATTGAGCTCATCCCATTTAATACCTCTATATATAATCAAGGTGACGAAACGAAGTCATGTGAGTAATGAATGTAGTGGGACATAAATGGTGCTAGTTGATCATGTCTCGTCCTATTTAATTACACTATATAATCAAGACACGAAAGGGAGTAATACAAGGAATGAATCCAGTGGGGGCAGAATAATAGTTGTTGATCATGTGCTGCTTGGCTCTTGCCCCAGCTTCTACTTATCATTCATTTTGGACCACCGGGAGATGCTCTTTTCTTAATTTACTCATAATCTGACAGCTTGTCTCAATTATTAGATTACTTCGTACTATTTTATTTTCAAATCCAATTTTCAACTTTATTTATATTTTTATTATACATGGAGAAATGATTTACTAAAAGAAAAAAACCTCGAGTACATAGAACTCTTGACAAAATTCCTACAGATATTGTCGTGACCGTGACAACATCTAATTCGTCTGTGTTTTACTAAATATCATATCAATCACTTGATGAATACAAATTCTCCATTCTCATGTCATGTTAGTTTCCATCTCAAGTTGTCGGTCTTTTAGAATTTTAAATTCTCAATTGTCAATTTTACCGTTAAAAAATAACAAGCAATACAAACCGAAATACGACACACAAGAACCTTGGAACAACAGAATACATATAACCGATCATCATTCATTGGGGGTTCAAAGTCTTAAATCTTAAGTCATGCCAAGGAAGCATATTTACATCTTTCATGTGCCTTCTCCTGATGAACTTCGACACTAGCATATATACATATCAATGGATGCAATGCTTAGATTTATCTAAAAATTTACTAAAAATCCTCCAACAGGCTCTACTCGGGCCCAAAATTCACCAGATTCGAGAGGTTGGTCGACTGAAGCTTCTTTATGTCACTGGCAGTCACCTTGCAGGACTCCAATGTCAATGACATCAAATTCTTAAGTAGTTTCAGGTGCTGCAGCCCTGCACTTGTTACCCGAGAATTTGAGACATTTAAAGAGACCAGTTGCGTTAATCCTGCATTTATATGTGCAATTCCATCAGAGGCTGGCTATATGGATTAATACTCTCAAAGAGTTGGACAAAGCAATGTACAATTCTCTTCTCAAAATATTCAAGAAACTTCAATTTGTTCACATTTACTACTGATAAAGTAAGTAGGACGAGATGAGGTAGTATAATTATCTTTAACCCTCTCGAGGGCTGTTACATGCACAATGCTCTAGTCTTAAGAATAAGATTTCAGCATATCGAGAAAATGACAGTCGCCTTGTTTGGCGTTAAGACCAACAGAGAAATAAGTTGTGGAAGCAATATAATCAAAGATGGCTCTCTGGTAATTTATCAGATTTAGTGGTATGTTGGTGACGTGAAATTAGACAACACTAGACAAAATTAAGGAAAAAAGCTAAAATCTTCTCAATGGTATTGTCCAGAAAGGTAGAACAATGTACCAAACATGCACTAGAAGAAAAAAAGAGAAGGATGAAGGGAGACCACAGAATAATGAGTTTGAAAGGGAAACAGATAACGTATGAAAAATATATTCACCAGAGGTTTATTCCAATCTCATCCGTGAGGCGGTGGTTTTGGGATAGATTCAGATGCGTCAAGAATGTAAAATCTTTGATATTCTTGACGCCAGCATCAGTTAGTCCTCCACCACAAATTTCAAAGGACTGCAGGTTCTTGAAAGCTGAAAAATGGACAAAATAAAACAAAAAGAAAGATGAGGGCATGTTTGATCGGCAGTCTTGATATTAAGGGCATGTTTGATATGCATTACTGGATAGGACTAGACAGTACGGTGACTAAATATGCCATGAAGTTCAAACAGATGAATTGGAACCGTAAATGCTGTAAATGATGGATTCAACAATGCACTAACTATTGAAAATAATCAACTTGAATTAAGTAACAGGGTTGGTTTCTCAGCATACATAGCAGATAATTCGTTCCAGAATCAGTAATGTGAGCTCCAAAGAGAAACATATGAGTCAATCCAGTTAAACCTGCAGAATAAGAGAATCTGCAAGTTATGAAGAGATTATAGACGATGATAACTTTGGGCACATCCTTGTTGAACATAGCCAATCTTTGGTTGAAATGTTTAGATAATAGCACTAGAGCGACCACCATAATAACACAACATATTTAACAGAAGTGCATCAATCATGAGGTGAACCTGAAAGCGACTCCAAGCAAGCAGCAACCCTCCATGTTCAAAAGAGCTAGTTTTGCAAAGATACAATGCAGATAACCAAGAAAAAAAACGTTAGCTCTTCCGTGTCTCAAGATATCAAAAGCATGGACTTGTAGAACACTGAGCAAAACTTGCAACCTAAATTGACTTTAAAGTCTACTCAGTTTCTTTTCTCCTCTTATTTAGTGGTGGGGGGGGGGGGGGGGG